CTAAGGCTTATGACTCTCTAGAATGGGATTACCTTTGGTAGTTTTGAAATCTCTAGGTTTTTCTAATGACTAATGTCAAATGATAAAGTTGTATTTTATTGCCATTAGACCCCATCTACCCTTCTTAGTTTTCATGAATGGATAAGTTCTATTTTCTAATGACTAATGTCAAATGATAAATCTCAAGTTTATTCAATGACGCCCTTGAGGGTCATCTTGAAGCCACCTCAGGTTTGGCCATTGTTGCCCTTCGAATGCCAAAAACATAAGGTTTGGCCATTCAACCCTTTCTTCTCCATCTTCTTCTCCAACCAGTGGAAAAACTTCACCTTCTCCATCGTCTTCTCCAACCAATGGCAGAACTTCACCCTCTTGTCCTGAATGGCATAGAGGTTGGTGTCTTCAAAGAAATCCACCAAGTAGGCCTCAACGACTTCTTGAAGAACAGTGATAGAATTTCTTTGAAAATGTAGATCTGTTTTGAAGTCCTAAGCAATCTCATGGACGAGATGCTGAAAGGGTAACTTTTGGATCAAGATCTCCTTGCTCTTCTGATACTTCCTGATCTCAAGAAGAGCAACGGTTCCAGGCCTGAACCTATGAGGCCTCTTCCCTCCTTCAATTGCTTGTGTCGATTTCTAAGCCACCTTAGTTGCTATTTTCTTTCAGGGAGTCTTCCCTCCTATTGATTTTCTTGCAGTTTACTTCATATGCACCATCTCTAAGCTCTCTGAGTCTCTATTCGACAAAACAAGATAGAAAGACACAAACGACTATTGAATTCTATCTAGACCTGTGCACTAGCCAAGCCGAGATGAGTTCAAGCAAGGCTTTTCCTTTACATTAACAAAATATGCTCAGGCCTAAGCCCGAGCCCGGCCTGACCATCGGGCCTAGGTCTTGAGCCCAAGTCCGAACCTGGCCAGAAATTTGGAAAATTTATTTTTTTCCTTTTTTATTCAATTAAAAACTATTTTATTTATATTAAAAGACATCAAAACCTAAAAAATAATGAAAGATCTCACTATTACTTGAAAAAAGAGAAGAATAATAAAGAAAAAATATTAACATATATAATATTTTTACTATATAATACATTATCAAGTTGGGCTCGGGCTCGGGCTCGGGCTGGGCTTTTTTGAGAAAGCCCAAGACCAACCCGAAAAAAGGTCGGGCCCGATGTTTTAGGCCCGATCCTAAGCCCACGGGCCTGAAATCCTGTCTAAGCCCGACTTAGATTAGGTCAGACCGGGCCAACCCGTCGGGCTACCTGGCCCATGAACAAGTCTACTTCTATCGCAGTTCTCAACACTCTTGAAATAAGGGTTAAAGTTGTCTTTTGAAATTACCAAATGGGCTTGGGTCTTCTTGAAATTACCGAATTCCATGAATACTATTACTTGTGCTTGATTTTAGGCTTGGCACTCTTGAAATGAGGGTTAAAGTTGTCTTTTGAAATAATAAGTGCTCATTGGAGAAAAATGCCGCCAAACACCCTATATGAAATAAGTGCTTATTGAAAAAGTTGGGTGCCAAATGCAAATAAGTGCTTATTTGACTAAGCACTTATTTTTAACATAAGAACTCCCAAACATACCCTATGTCATTGATTGAGAAAGCTAATGAGAATAGTAAATTGCAAGGAATTAAATTTGCCAGAAATGCGCCTATGGTTCCTCAATTACTCTTTGTTGATGATGGTTAACTCTTTTTGGAATGCCAATAGAGGAGGCTATTGTTTTTGCTGAGCTTATTCAGCCTTTCCAAAATCTATCGGATTTAATTGTAAATTTTCAAACATTTAGAATTTATTTCAACAAGAAAACCCCCCCTAGGGGAGCTAGAATGATAAGAAGACAGCTGAAAATGCCTCATTTAGCTCCTAACATCGTACCAAGGGATCCATCTTCTAGCGAGTAGAAACAAGTCTAAGTCTCTAAATTTTGGTGTCATTTGGCAAGTCTTTTTTGAAAGATCTTCAAGTAGACCTGACAACCAAAAGGTGATGTGAGCTTTTGCATTAAGATCTTAGCAACCTGAACAACGTTTGGTTAAGGTGCATCTTTTCACGCGAAGATATGATTATAAAAGTTGAAAAGCTCCATTTGGATCTTCTCAAAAATAGCCCAAAACGGGCTTTATGCGTCTTTTCGGGGTGGTATCTTTTGGTGGCTAGGTTTTTTTTCAACCAAATAGGAAAAGACCAAAATACGGACTGCTGGGCTTCTAAACAGCCAACAGCTCACACGGACATGCCAAACAAGGCCTTTATTTTGGATAGGCTTAGAACTAAACTAAGTAGCTAGAGGTCTAAGCCCCTGTCCTCTGCACGGAAACGGGTGGTAATGCAATCAATCAACCAAGTGGCTCATATGGGCCTAACCCAATTCCCAAAGAAAACAATTTCTAAGGTTAAAAGAATTTTCAAGATTTTTTGGTGGGGGATTCTAAAGACCATAGACGCATTAGATGGGCTAAATGGCATCACCTTTGTGCTCCAAAGTTTGTCGTGTGATTAGGGTTTAAACAAATGAAAATCATAAACAAAGCCCTTCTTTGCAAGCGAGCCTAAAGATTTCTATCAGAAAATAGTGCTGTGGGTGCAGATCCTTAAGGAAAATACCTGAAAGATAATCATTGTTTTCTGAGGAAAATTCTTGTAACTGCTTTTCCAATTCAGAAATCCATTGAGAAAGAACTGCAAAACCCTTTCTGTTATACAGGAGTTCTTTCATCCCAGATTAATACTATATTTGGGATGTCCAATGGATTCAAACTGGAACTGGATCAGAAGGCCATTGGGACCTGAGCCCAAAGCTTCGGCAAACACTCAAGTGAAAAAGCTCATTGATTCAACTTCCAAGTTCCAAGCACTCGCACTCGAAATTGGTATAGGGGGCTTTTAAACAACATTTTTGAGGAAAGGGATTTCCAGGATATTTATGAATACTCATATTTAACCGGAGTGAGAATTTTTTTTGGACCGAGAACACTAAAGGAGTAGTTCGGACAAACTCGCAAAAGTTTTGTATAAATTCTTTTGGGAACAAGAGGATGGAACTCCAAGCTTGCCTTCTCTGCCCATTCTTCAGAAAATTTGGCAACTTAAAAACCCACCTAGGTTTAAACTTTTTCTCTGAAGACTAACCAGGGGTTTTGTCTTTAGTCGTAACTAGAAGTAAACTTTGTGACTGGGGCCTCATTTCAGAATATTGTATTTTTTGTGGGACCAATCAAGAAACATTAAATCATTTTATTTGTGAATTGCCATTGGGTGCATGCTTTAACTTTTGCTAGTCCTTGGGGTCTGAATTTTCATTGAGTTGGGTTCCAAGATATTTTTCATTTCTTTGATTTTCTTGCAAGTTTAAATCTTAATCCTGATGTTTTTAAGGATTTAACGACTTGGTCGAGTCATGATTGTAAAATGCCAGTGAAAATCGTTCTTGATACCCCCACTGAGAACATGTTGCAGGTATAACTTGAATATACCAATTTCCTCTAGCACCAATTCCAGGTAATGGGCAAGTGGTAGTATCTGAATCAATTACTGTTCGACCACTAGTAAATTTCTGAGAAACCGGGAGATATTTCCATTGTTAAAGATATACGACGTACCAATCGAATTCAAAGATAGTATTCCTTTTGGACCATTTAACTTCAAGATTGTTTAAACTAGCAAGGAAACAAATTAAGATTGTTTAAACCATATGGTCATAATACATGGATATGCATTAATTTGATTTACAAATGTTCTAACTTCAAGAGTCAAGACCATTCAACTTGGTAAAACATAAACTGATGAAAAGATAGCATCAGTGGATAAAACTTAGAAATAGCATACATTTAACTGGAGAGCATTAAATTATTGAAGTACACAGCGATTACCAGGGTAAGAGGCATAATAATGGACAGAAAAATAAAAGATCGGATTAATATTCAGTAATAGTCATGCAACACGTGGTCATGATGCATCATTCCACATAATATAGTATCCTTGTGACATTACCCATCATCTTTTCAAACAAAGATGATAAGTAAAATTAATCTATGATACGGGAAAGATATGATATAGAAAGAGTTTTGATCAATCAAAACCCACCCATGAATTTTGATAAATAACACCTGACTTGCTATCACGTTTATGATTTCAGTTTATTAGTCAGCTGTTTTTCGGATATCATATCGTATAATACATAACTGAATAAATACCTACACCACAAGGCACAGGCAGAAATTCTTTGAGAACCCTTAGTTGTCTAACTCATTTGCAGATTCTCTTGCCCTTGAAGGAGCAGGTAGACAGCAATTGAGATAAGGTGAATATCCATGGGGCTAATAGAGATTTATGTATGGGAGGGGAGATCTCTTATTGGGAAAATGATCAGCATTCTGCTAGATGTATTCAACCTTTCTGTTTTGTATATAAGATTGTACACCTTATACACTAACTCTGTACGTTTCTTATAATTAATCAGTTACTAATAAAAAAAAAATGCAGAACTAAAGAAGTAAGATGCCATACAGAAGTCTCAGAGATTGGTGATGCAACTTGAAAGCTTATATCAGGTTGGGTGGTAACCCAAGCCAACTACAAAAACATAACACATAACATGTCCCAAACCAATCCAAAAACAGTCCACTTAACCCAACACAAACTACTTTTTGATCCTGGATGACATCCACTCTAGTAACAGCAAAAAACTTACCATCAAGTCAACTTAAGTTGCCTAAGGCATCAAATCAAACCCAACATTACCACTCACTTGTGGTTGCTCATCCCAAGCCACCACAGGTCTGAAAATGCAAGTTCAACTAGACATAAAGGTTGATAGGTTAGGCAGGTTGGACGAGTCTGCACCAAGCTGCTTCTGTGGATGATTTATACTCATTTCATTCTAAAAAACAATGAGCAGAAAAGCAACAATGCAATGCGAGGACATTGAACTGAAACTCCAGAAAAAGTTACATGCAAATAGAAACAATATGAATGGAAAAAGGAAAAGAAAGTCATCTTTATTTCTTTCCTGTGCAACTCCTTTAGTTTCTGTAACTTGTGAGGCTTAAGTAAATAGCACCGATGAAAAAATAACAGCAGTAATAAACAGCAATGACAGATAAAATAATACAAAAAGGCTTATAGCTTGCTCATAAAAAACCTTATCAGAAAGCAAACATGGAGCAGCCAAAAAATGTAGAAACAGGCCTAAAATGTGATTTTTTTATTGATAGAAAACCAAACATGATGTTACTCCTGTAGACCACCATGATACATGTATATTTTTCTCATTTTTGACTTTCACTCCGCAAAAATTGTTTGAGAGGAACAGCAATAAATGAGCACCTTTCATGGGGCCATGAGCCCTTCAATTGTGTAAAAGAGAGACTGCGCCCAATCAGCTTTAAACAGTAATGTCTGTAGTGTGTGCATCACATTGTAGTCTGGATCAAGCTTCCGCTGCCATCCCTATGAAAGTATCAACGGAAGGGAAGAAAAGAAGGAAAAAAGGCAAAGAAAATGTCAGAAAAGCATACACCATACTTTTACCTTCATTATGAAAACTAGAGAATGACCCTGTACTAAGTACAGGGTAACTAAATGTGTGTATAATTTAGTTTGAAGTTTACTATATAGTTATCAAAAATTAAATTAAAAAAAACTAATATGGGTCTTACATCTTTGTAATTGATAATCTATTCTGGCCTTTTTATTTGAAACCCACTATTAATTTATGTTTTTTTAATTTGATTTAAGATATTAAATGAGATCTTATTGGTAAACAATAATTCACTTTATTTGGTATTTACTATTTATCTAATAAATCTATTTTGAGTTATTTATTTTTAAAAGTTAAATTAGGTTGATTCCTAAAAGTTAAATCAAGTTTGTAATTAATAAAGTATTTTCTTTTTGAAAAAAAAAATCATTTGAAAACAAACGTGGGTTTATGGTAATCTTTTAATGGGTCCCACCATTTGAATTTAATAGACTATGGATAAACATGTGTTAAGCTAATAAATAATTGTCTATTGAGAATGTTTAGGAGTGAAACTACCCACATTTTGAATCCTATTTCTTGAATTAATAGGATGCCACGTGTCTGAATGGTGGTAGTGAGCTGTAGCAGCAACTTCTCAGAAAATGCCACGTGTCTAGCTTTCTAGAAAAATGAAAAGGCCACATGTCTGAATGGTGGGGGCTGTAGCCTGGTAGTGGGTTGTGGGCTTTAGCAAGAATTTCTCAGAAATTGCCACGTGTCTAGCTTTTCAGAAAATGAGAAGGCCACTTGTTTGAATGGTGGTAACAACTTCTCAGAAAATGATACGTCTAGATTTCCAGAAAAATGAGGAGGCCACGTGTTTGAATAGTGTGGGGCTGTAGCCTGAAGACCTTCCTTTAATATAGGTCTTTAATATATATATATATATATATATATATATATATTAGATTAGTGACAAGATGAGGGAAATTCAACTGAGATGGACTAGTCATGTGCATAGACAACCAATGATTGTACCAATGTAGTTTGAAGAGGTAAGAAACAAAATATGGGCATAGAAGTTGATAGAACACATGACTCTTGATAGAGTAGAATGGCAAAAAGGATTCACATAACCAACCTCATGTAGTTGGGACTAAGGCTGAGATAGGTTGGATATGAATTAATAAATTTGTTCTGATTGCATATCAGGAAAAGGGAAAAGTCAGGAAAGCCTTGAAACTTTAAAACACTAGAATCCTATCTCATCTAGCATCCTTAGATGTTTTAAATGAGATATAAATATACCATTCTAAGCAATGATTTAAAGGGCACACCTAGGCGCACGGGCAAGGCGCATTTCAAGGCATGTGCCTCGCCCAGGCCCAGCACAGCCCCTTTCAAAAGGCATGCTCCAGGTGCACCTAGGAATGCACCAAATGGCGTGTCTTACATGGCTACCATATTAAAGGTGGCATTCACCTTTTCAAAATTTTTGTGCCTTGCTTCAAAAAAGGTGTGTGCCTAATCCTGCACCTTGCACTTCGGGCACAAAAAGCCCCTTGTGCTTTTAAAAACTACTTCCAAGAGACATTAGTAGTTTCTCTTACACAATCAGGTAAACTTCACGCAAAAAAGCACCACCAAAATCTTACGTGTCAATTGGACTTTGTTAAGATGCAAATATCATCATGAACAAGGATATAGGTACAGGTACATGTACCCACTTAATAAGCTAATGCCATTCTTCTAATACTAGTATTTGAAGATTAGTGTCATTTCCTGATACTTGCATCTTGCAAAAGTTAAATTAAACTTATAGCATATAAGATTTTCATAGTACAATATGTTAAAAGCATAATATTTTACATATTTTAGAAGTGCTAATAATAAAGCATATTCTATAAGTGTCCATGCAGTATCTGGTGTCACATCAGGTACATATCGTGTCTGGCACCAGCAAGCTATACATGTACAGGCCATGTACATGATTCATCACCAACCCAAAAAAGATAGATTCTCAATTTAAGATACTGATATGATCTCATAAATAAGTTGAAATAGACTGCAAATATGCAATAAAAGAATGATAATAAAAATTTAGTTTACAGTTTTTGCTTGTGAACATTAAAAAAAAAAGTTCGACAGAATATGCCAGGATGGGGGGTTACAGCCTTTTTTTAAAAAGAAAGTTGAACCTTTAATTATTTGATGTTCCCCTTGTTTGTGGCAACTCCATACCAGAACACCATTGATTGAAAAATAGTTTAAAAGAACCTCCCCTCCACTCATCTTGTATTTCATACCTTATTTATGTTTTATATACCATCAGCTGACCATGCTCCATTACAAACAGTTAAAGCAACGGCATGCATTTAACAAAGCAAAGTATATATTATATAATTTTAAATAATTAGAGGCAAATACAAACAAATAGAGCTTTAAATTAATGTTGAGTTGGTCCGAGTTGTTTTAATTTAGTTAGGAAGTTGTTGGGCTTTAGGCCCCCATTAGTTTATGTTTTTTTTTAAGTTGTGACTGTTCAGCTATATTAGTAGCCGCCCTACTAAGGGCATCCTTGTAATATCTCATCCTATAAGTATAAATATAATGAGAGGTAGGCGGCTAGGGTTAATTTTACAATCCTGGTTGACTTCCTACTCTTTTCTTCTTCTCCTTTCTTCTCTACTGCTAAAATCTTCATCTTCCCCCTCTTTCCTTTCACAAGAAACTCGACTAAATCTGCAATTAGTGATTTCTACTTGGTATCAAAGCGAGCCGAAGGTTCCTTGAAGTTGTTCTCTCATGCAGCCTAGATCGGCCGACTGCATGGTGACTTAAGAGGCTGATCGAAGCTCTCAGGTAAGCCCAGTTTTTGGATTTTTTTGGTGGATCTGTGTGCCCTGTATCTGGTCTAGGGTTCTCATCAAAATCAAGAAAAACTGGAGAAAGGGAAAGAGTCTTGTTTCTGTTGGACTCTTCAATTTTGACCTAGGAAGTGGCGCCCTAATTTTTTAGGGTTCCTTGGAGTTTTTTGTAAGGGGCGATTCAAGTCCTGCTTGATTTGGAGGCTTCTAGAGAGAGCGGCTGCCTCTTCTCTCTCTTCTCCCGTCCCATAGAAAAGGAATCTTTTGTAGGAAGAAAGTCTAGGACACCAGAAAGGTGTTGTTGGTTCCAAAAAGTGTTTTGTTTGATCTTATTGCAAATTTCAGTTAGTTTCTTTATAGTTTTTGAGAAGCATGGAGGGCCACGGAGTTGAAAATAAGCCCGGGAGTGAAATGGGACCAGTGGGAAGAGGTGCTGGAGACCCTTTCGGGGCTGGGACCATTACTACAGTTAGGTTGGATGGTGCAAATTACTTAGAATGGTCACAATTTGCAAAGATGGCCATTGGTGCTCGTGGGAAATTAGGGTATATCACTGGTGAAGAGGTGAAACCCGAAACTAG